TGGTGAAAATCTCGTATTTTTCAGGATTACACCATACACCTTCTCTGGAACAACACTCTCTCTATCTTTCTTCTTATTTTGAGAGATGTGTTGCTTCCAAGATCTTAAATATCCACTTTGGATATTAAAGATCTATCAAACGCAACGCCAACCGCTCTGCCAAGCAGAATCTGCTGAAGCTGAAAACGGTCAATGGCGGAAGATATCACAAAATCTCAAGACAAGACTTGGTTTAGGAATTATTGTAATTTGAATTGTATTTGTTTAAGAGTTTTTGTTAACAAGCTGTATATTATGAGAAACTAAAAGAAAGTTACAAAATTAGTTCTCAGTACAGCGACCGGAACTCTTAAACACTTGTGTGTCATTATCAAAAAGGGGGAAATTGTTGGGAAAAATATTATAGATTTTGATGATGATGTATTTAGAATGTAATAGGGACTTTAGGTCTCCCCAAATATTCAATGTAATTCTTCCTTTTAGAAATATTGTTAAAACCAAGTTCTTGAGATTTCCAATAAAGTTGTGATATTTCTTTAAGCGGTTTGATGCCTGAAGACTTAATCAAATTCAGAAATTTGGAAATTGGATATCTTGATCAGAACACCCATTCCAATGAGGAATCTTCAAATCACAATCTTCATTCAAAATTGAAGCCAGCAAATGCAACGGATAGTCTATTTTGATTCAACGGATAGATTATCCAATCCAGCTATAAATAGCATCCTTGGAAGACTGGAGAAAACAACAACAACGATCAACGATAAGAAGAACAACCACAAAAAGGCTACCTCATTCACAGTTAGCCCCCGATCAAGATATCCAATTTCCAAATTTCTGAATTTGATTAAGTCTTCAGGCATCAAACCGCTTAAAGAAATATCACAACTTTATTGGAAATCTCAAGAACTTGGTTTTAACAATATTTCTAAAAGGAAAAATTGCATTGAATATTTGGGGAGACCTAAAGTCCCTATTACATTCTAAATATATCAACATCAAAATCTATAATATTTTTCCCAACATAGAGTTCTTGTGAACTTTAGATTGTGTGCAGAATTTGGTGGGTAGAGTGAGCAGTAATCAATATGGATGGGTTAGTTTTCACAGTTAATATAATTGCAAGTAAGAATGAAGATAAAAGAGAGAGACACGCAAACTTTAACGAGGTTCGAAGGTGGGGTAATCCTATTGAGATGAATGTGTGGTCATATGAGGATGGACAAGGTCCGAATGGGAGGTAGGGGTGGTGTTCGTAAAGGATAAGCTACAGGTAGGCGGGGGTAGGCATGGGAGGGGGCAAAGCAAGGTGATTAGACATAATTATAGATAAAATCGTCTCACGGTCTAGGAATAAGGTGTTAGGGTATGCTTTTTGGTAGTGTTCTTCCAATGAGTAGGACTTGATGTCTTAGTTCATTGTATCTACGTGTGTGCTTTCTTTTTGTGCACCTATCCTTTGTCATTCTTATTTTATCGTTACTTTTTTTCCTTTGTTCCTTTTCTTTTGAGTTGTGGGTCTCTTAAAAACAAACTCTTTACGTCCCACTTAGTGGAATTTTACTAGGTTTTTTGTTGTATTTCCTCTCTATTTCCTTTCATTATCGTTTTATGAGTTCCAAACGGGCCCATTATGTATGTATGTTAAAAGTTTGTATTGATTCCCAAATGTTTTAAAATGAACTTTCATAGCCCATAAATTGTATGTACAACATTTTGTATTCCTAACAACATTTTTCCATCTATCTCTAAAAAAAGCTAAGTAATTTCAATATTGAGATAACAAAGTAAAACCTTTATATAAGAAAAACAAAAATTTTGTATTAAAAGATGAGGCCACTACTGAGGACTAAAACTCCTGTACATTACTACAATTACAAAACTTCAATTGATCCATAAATGCTACGAGTCAATTAGAAAAGTATTCTAGGTCTTAGTCATGATATAATTGACCATAGACATGATAAAATGGGATGAATTCAATAGGAATAAAAACCAAGTTGAGGTTAAGTTTAAAATAAAGAAAAACTAAAGCATGAATGTTCCTAAAAATTAAACAAGTCCAACAACATAAATGAGCTCCATGCAAACATGTCTCAACCTTAACACATACTCCCTCACTCTCAATATAAAGTTTACACTAAGTTTTTCAAACTCATTAAGAAAAGAAGTATTCATAGGATAAATAAAAATTAAACTAGAACCCCAATACATGGATTATGCAAAGAAAGGAGAAGTAGAAAAAATTACCATATGAGCCGGCTCAACAATAGGGTACCCAGTTTTATCTCTAAATAAAGTAACAAAATCATCTGCAATCCATTAAAATTCACAACGCCCTGCATTAGCTCCTTCATTCACAGAACATTCAAACCAAACCCCCAGAAGTCCACAACTAAAAAACAACTGATATAACAAATGGGAGGCTTACTTAGCATTAAATTTGATTCCTTGCGACGAGATCCATGATCAACAATGATCACCGCATCTTTCTCTCAAACAATCCCAGGTGTGTTTATTAGAACTTCACTATTTGAAGTGCTGAAACACAGCCTTGAAGATAAATACTTGCTTTTCCAATGACTTTTATCAAATTTTGAGAAACTAAACTGCACACGTTTACAATTTACTCCAGTTTCACTTTCTGGGCATCTGTAACCCGGCAGTTTAACATAGATATTTGAAGAAGGAAGGGCCAGAGAGCAAGAGTTCAATAACATGCTTTTCCTACGTGTAATACTAATAGCCCTCTGGGGATAAAGAGAAAAGTGTTACACTAACTAATATAAGAGTCGTTTTAGAATGAAACTGAGCCTTGGAAATATATTAAACGAATAAATAAACAAACAAAAAACAAAACTTTGCAAAACTCACGATTGGCTTTCTTGGCTTATTGAACTCTAAGTATTGAAATGAAACAAATTAAAATTGAAGTCACTCCTATGAACTCATCATGGCAAATCATCTACTCTATCTTCGTCTTCATGCCCTGGGCTTATTATATGCACATGCAAACGAAACAATTGAAAGCGTTTATATTAGTAAGTCACTAGTAATCCACAAAAACATTTAGGAATTCCATGGTAAATGAATAGATAAACATGGGGTAGAAGCCTTATCATACTAATGAAGTTAAATCATAAAAGAGTTTATGATCAGATATGAATCACCAAACAAAGTACGTTGTTAAATTTTAACTGAGGGACTGTGATAGCTTAGTGGAACAACTCACTAAAAATAGTGTAGTCTTGACCCGTGTTCAAAATGGCGTAAGGCGGGTTTGAGGCATTTTTTATTTACTGCATGAAACGTAAGCCTTAGGGTGTAAGATTTGGGTTACACGCAAAACTATCAGTAAAAAATTGAGAAATAATATATAACACCAAAACTAGCTAGTGTAAAATAATTGAAAATCACAATTGGATAAATATACTGTAACAAATACACAAACAATTAGGGTGGATATGAGCATATCAAACCACTTAGATAACTATATGAATAAACAAATAATGACTATCAAATAAATAGTGAATATAACTTAATAAATAAACAATTATACACAAAAATAAATTAATAAACACACAAGTATTATCAACAACAACAACCCAGTTGTTTCCAAAGAGACCCTGTCTCAATCACCACAGGTAATCACGTACGCAGCCTATACCCAAGTAAAAAGCATAAAGCGGCTATTTCCGAATGACCCATGATGGGCGTCGAAAGTTGCATCGACTAATTGCTACTTCACTATTAAAAGAAGGGCAGACAATTTAAAGAGTCATTTTGCTTCATTCAAATCACAATTAGCATTGAAATTTTTAACATTATGTATATCTTCATTCACCCAAAATAACTATATATATTTATATGACAAAATATTATTACCTAAACAAAATTATGTTTAAAGGTAGCACATAAAATTGCATAATGAAAGATACATTAGAATATCCTTCAATCATTAGAGCTGGCTTTTAGTTTGGGGTCTTTGGATGGACCGTCATAGTCACAAACATTATTATCTCCCATTTGTTCTGAAATAAATGCAAAATTTTTTCATAAGAGATAATAAATATTAAATTAACTTCCTAACTCAAAATACTAAAAAAAAAAATGTTAACTGAAATTAGCAAAAAAAATGTTAATTGAAATCAGCAAAAAAATTAAAAATTAAAAAAAACTGAAGAAAATTTAAAAATAAAGACTATAATATACTTTTATTACTTTAATAGTTTAATGAACCAAATTTTAAAAAAATTAAACTAAATTACGAGATTAAGTGATAAAGAATTAAAAATATAAAATATTACCCGATAGAGAGAGATAGAGGCTATGCGACTGATATTCTGCTATGCTCTGATGCGACGCGACAGAGAGAGATAGAGGCGATGAAGAGGAAGATGAAAGTTGATAGCCGATCGGCTTGAAACCTTAATCGATGCGAATGGGAGGCTTGAAGTAGGCTAATTGTGATTTACTAGCGATTGAATTTGCTAAAATTTGTAATTTTTATTAATAAAACATACTCCCTCCGTCCCAAAAAGTCTTTCCTGTTTCATTTTTTGTGCATCCCATAAAACACTTCTATCCCGCCTTGAATACCAAAAAAACTTTCAAAATAACTTCTACCCACAATAAAGAAGAAATGTTGTAAATTTTAGACATTTTAGATGTCGGTAGAATTATTTTATGGGATGCGCAAAAAATGAAACAGGAAAGACTTTTTGAGACGGAGGGAGTATGTCATTTTTTAATGTAGTACATATAATTTTTTATTTTCCTAAAACTACTTACATAATGCCTAATGGCAGGAACAATATATGTTTTACATTTAATTTAACTAATACCCAGTGACAGTAGACATTTACTTGAACAATGACTAGTGGTACTACATTGATAAATAAAAACATATAGCGCTACATTGGAAAAGTTATTTTATTTTATTACTTTTTAATTAAATTTGTCTTGAATTTGGAAATGTCGGTATAAAATTTGCCTTGAATTTGGGAAATTAATTTCCCAATCAATTTTGGTGGTCAAACTTTTTGACTGTACATTATCAAATAATATATTGAATTTTCATATAAATTTAATACCAATAGATTCATCTTAAAATATAGTTTTAAGATATATTATATTTATAATATATCTTTATTTATAAATAGATATATTAATGGTCAAAATGTTGCATTAGATACCGTGAAAAGTCAAAGGTCAAGCTAATTTTAAGACTAATAGAGTAATATTTAATAAAATTTGGGTCTGATCAGGTCAAATTGCATCTTCTTCTCCTACTAGTCGCCGCTGAAACACGACTAGGCGAGGCCATAGTAGCCCGAACCATTAGGCTACCCTAGTCGCTAAGTACCGAGTTTTTCCCTTCCCCATAACGCCTCGACGAGGAGTCGGCAACTAGTCGTCACATATGCGACGATTTGACAACACTGATTCCATCATACCCCAAAGCCAAAACACACAAGTACTATTTCTCAAATAAATAAACATCTACTGACAATAACTTACTCCGTAATAAATTACTACGGAGTAAAAAAAACTACAGAATATCATACTTTTACCATAGTACCCCTCTAAACAATACGGCGTAAATAATAATAAAATGGACATCATGAAAATGGAAGATTGCACCTTGAAACAATGAATCAATGAGCGGTGTAGAGAGAAGTGCAAGTCGAATTTAACTGATGTATTTGTTAGTAGAGCTACTACATTGGGAGAAGAGGCTAGAACTACAAGGTGCAAGTCGCTTCGCTGATACATATACTGTAATTTGTATTATGCAGAAATAAGTTCAAAAATCCTAAATTGCAAAATTAAAAAAAAATTGAAAGAAAAAAGCAATTACTCCCATTAGTCAATTTCCTCAATTGTTTCTACGTATATACTACATAGTACGTACGTAGTACTATGCATTTCTCTTCTTCAATCTCAAAAACATATAGACTAAACATTGATTTGAATTGAAATCCTCCAAATAGTTGTTTTAAAGAACTATTTGACCCCAATATAAATTCTTAGAACAACTTCAATGGATCATGGAAAATTCACGAAAGTGTAAAAAATGGAAGCGATATAGTTGTTACTGTTCATTAGTTCGGCCTCCAACGAACAAGGCAAAAAATACACCTCGCAAACAACAAGTGCATCTCTTTCTCGCTCGTCTTTCATCTCCAGGTAGGCATCCTTGCTTCTCCTTCCACGAAATTTTTCCTCAAAACTTTAATTTCCAGATTCATTTATCACATTCTCCATAAATTTATGATCTGAAGTGCATGATTTGATTAAGAAATTTGTGGGCATCTAATGATTATGATGTGTTTCTTCTCAAAAAATAACATAAAGCAAAATTTATTTGTATTCTAAAAATATTTATTAATTTTTTTCTAAAATTTTTTATTCGACAAAAGAATTTAAAGAAAAAACCTTGACCATGTGTTTCACTACCCATGTTTTTATTGCAGCCCAATTTGAAGTTTGTAATTACTTTAAAGAAAAAGTATTGAATAATAAAAAATAAAGTGTATAATATAGATGTAATGGTTGGAGTGGAGATAGAAGCTAATAAAATACTCCGTACTATTGAAGAGCTAAAACGCCAAATAGCTTTTAATTTTTTACACTCCCAAGTATTTTTGAAATTTAAGCCTCTGTCTTGAAGAAAAGCAGCGGTGTTTACTCCCTAAGACCCTAACCATATTAAAGCAAAAAATTTGGTAAACAAGAATGCTAATGATTAATGAATTTGTTTGTTCGGTAAAAATCGAAAAAAAACACTTTGGTAAATAATTTTACCAAAAGAAACTAAACATAACCGGCGAAACTGTTGGGCAAAAAAATGGCTCAATTTAAATAATTATACTCCATGAGCAGCAAGAATCATCACAAAAAACTACAACGAACATATGAACATTTAGGCTTCATTTGGTATACAGAATTCAAATTATGAAATTAGAATTGAGAACAATCATTCCAATTCTGCTATTTGGTAGCACAAAAATACATTGATTTGGAATTGGTAGTACAAAAAATGAATTGGGATTGGAGAATTCGATTCCATCCCATTCAATTAAATAGAATTTCAACTTTTAATTTCAATTCTAATTCTATCATTTCCGTGTACAAAACGGATCCTTACAAAATTGAAATTAAATTAGAATTGAAATTATATGAAACTGAATTGGATAGAATTGAATTATAATTCAATTTTAAACCCTTTGATTGGTATAATTAAGGAAATGATATATAATTATATTGTAGTTCCAAATCCTTTGTTTGGTAACACAAAAATATAAATAGAATTGATATATAATCGTACCGTAAGTATGTTTTACTTGGTTAGCCATTGGCCCTACCAGACACTACATGGCGTGAACTCTAATACCTAATACTTGTGTCAGTCCTAGAATTCTCTAGGTGGACTTGCCTTAGTTCGTACTTCGTAGTGTTAGATTAAAACCAAGTAAGTGAAGTAACTTATATTCCACATGCTGGTAGCGACCTACCATACCATTTGGCCTACCGACTGGCGATAGTGAACTACCGACCGTCGCGATGTTCATCTGGTGCGACTGCACCAGTCGGAAATCCTGTCTTTTTAGCCTTTTCTTGCAAACACCAACATACATAAATTCCCAATGCCATACATAAGTATCATATAAACAATAAATCGATCAAATAACGTTTAATCATGCGTTCTACCCGTTAATTTCTTCATAAACCATGAAATCCCTAAATTAAACCGATCATATAAGTTTTCGTGCAATTCAATTAACACAATGATTACGAACGCAGATTTCAAACATTTATAAATACTCTAACGTTAGGGTTCCATGTACTAACCGCGAAACGAAGAAGCTTAAACTATGACAAACAAAGACTCGCCAGAGACGGTTAGCATGGCAAGGAGGGCGACGCCAGGCTAGACTTCCTTCCTCTTCTTCTTCTCCTTCTCCTTCTTCATGTGGTTCTTCTATTGCGGTTCACAGTCGTAAAAAAGGGCAAGGGGGTGAAGTCGTGCGGCGTGGATAGTTAAGCACAATAACTTAGGGATTCGTGCTCCGTATTAAATAACGTACCTCAGGAAAAATGTACTTTTTGGGCCAACTTACTTCGAATTCATATCTGTTTGCACTGTTGGATTCGTCCCGTTGAACCTTACATGCACAAATTATAACTTTTATAATTTATTGATAAATATTTCTAATTACCCCATTTTCCGTGTCAATATATAATCAATTATTTTTTAATTAATTAATTAATTCTTATAGTATGGGTTTGGTGGCGCTACAAGAAATGTTTAGTTTTTTGGTATTGGTACGATGGTATCAACCATAACGAAACAATTTATTATGATTCAATACAATTTTATCTAATGAACATCATTAATTAATGATCGACCGATACACGCACACTAAAACTAACAAATTAAAAAGAGTAAATTCTAAAAATAGTCCTTTGTAATAAGAGTTTTTCCCAATTTAGTCCCTTTTAATGAGTAATGAACAATATAGTCCTCTATAATTTGGAGTACTGCTCAAAGAAGTCCTTTTGAGTTTTGTTTTGTAAATTGCTGTCAAATGAGATGTTAAATATGTGGATTATTACTTAATTTTATTACCCCATCTTAATTACCCCCTCTTACCGACCCCTAAAGAACGAAAAGACTGAGGGAAGCTTCAATTCCGATCTCCGGCGCATGGAAGGAGCAAGTTGCCTACTTGCCTCATCTTCTCTCTTTCTCTAGAACAACTGCTAAGACTTGGCAATCTTTGTTGACTATTCTAATATCTTGAGGAAACAATCGAGGATGTTGTATATAGAGACCGATAGACCCACAACCTCTGATGTAGTCCTCCTCTTCGCACATCAATTCCATCGCCATTTCTTCAGTAATTATCATATCAATAACCGGCTCTACGCCGATTGCGACCTCCTCCCTTCACGGCGGTGGTGGTGGATGGAGAAACAGAAATAGCGGCAGTAATTTTACCACCACCACCACAGCCGCCTCCAGCAGCAACGACGGTGATTCACGCCGTCTCTCGACTCCTTCCGCTTTCTTCCTTGTGGTATTTGTGTTATTGGCCTCAATTGGGTGCAACTATTCTCGCCCACACCTCTATAATTTCTGACGACATGTTTACAGGAATTATGACAATTGAAATTACAAAATTATCCAATTATTTAACTGAGATTTAACAGCAGTTTACAAAAGGACTTCTATGAGGAATAAGCCTAATTATGGAGGACTATATTGTTCATTAGTCTTTAAAGAGGACTAAATTGGGAAAAACCCTTATTACGAAGGACTATTTTGGGAATTTACTCAATTAAAAACCTACATTAGTAAATAGGAAAATTTTAGAACAAATGGATACGTAGTCTAAAATTCATATTAATGGATAAATCAACAAAGGCAAGCGACGATAGAAAAAATGGATCTAAAAGCAAAATATGAGATTTGTTCCCTGACTTTTCATTTACGGATTGAAGAATGGATGAACTAACAGTATCATCAAAAATCGACAGTCACACCGAAAATCGGATGGATGGTAGAAACGAAAATTATAGATCGATTGAAAAGCATAGAGGATAAACAAGAGATTGGGTAATTTTTAGAGCCATGGTGGAGTTTTCAATAATAAGTGGCTTTGAGATAAGTTGTTAAAATCAATTTATTTTTTTTAACTTATAAATTATTCTATAAGTAGAGATAAACACGTCAATAACAGATTTATAAATTAATAATAATTTTGAAATTTGTACTGAATAGGACTAAAACATACGTAGTAATTTATTCCCAATGTAGGAGTTAAACTTTTTTATTCCCTAAATAGGACTTAATAATGACTAGTGAGAATAATAATGTCCAAGTGATGCTAGACATTTAGTTGAATAATGACCAGTAGATAATGACTAATGGTCCTACATTATGAAATAAAAACATATGGTCATATATTGAGAAATTCATTATGTTTTAGTCTTATTTAATTAAACGGTAAGTCTAAAATGACACCAGTGCTACTGGTGTCATTTGCTTACACTATTTCGTTTGGGATATCTACGGTGCTCCGTTTGTAAAAACAACGGTTCCTACCCCCTAAACCTCCCACCCCAGCCCCACCCTTGCCCCCCACCCCTCCCGCCCCCTCCTTACCCTGGCAGTACACTGTCAGACAAGAACCGTCATTTTTACAAACGGAGCACCGTAGGTATCCCAAACGAACTGGTGTAAGTAGATGGTGTATAAGTAACTGGTGTCATTTTAGACGCTCCATTAATTAAATTACCCATAACAATTTATAAATAGTTTTGATCAATTTATAAGATAAACTTTCCTAAACCTTGAAATAGTAAAATGTTGAACTAGTCACCTGATTCACCTCCTTTTTGCGCGTGCATCTCACACACGGAGTAGATTATCAAAAAAAGCTTGCGTGTGTTCCCCCATTGGTGGACGGGAGCCGCGAAAGGTAGAGCTATTGGCGCTAGCAAGCCTCGAGGACGACTACACCTCTAGCAAAATTGCAGTCCCCATCTCTGAATCCCAAATCAGATTAGGGATCCGGGACATCATCCAACCACTGCGTGCTGTTGTGAGGTTAATCCACGGAGTAATTCAGAAATGGATCAGATATTGAACAAGGTGGGTTCTTACTGGTTTAGCAAGAGAGCCAACAAGGAGCTCAATTCCGTCGGCGACGACATAACCGTAAGCCCCTCCCTCCTTTCTTTTCTCCGATCCAGTATAGTTTTGCATCAATCAATTGCTTTTTTTGGGGGTTAATTTTGCTTAATCGGGTAGGAATCTCTTGAGTTCTGGAGATGAAATTTTGCTGTTACTTTTCTTTTTTAATCAGCTAGGTTTTCTTTGATGCTAATAGTTTTTTTAATACAAATTGAGTGCATCTCATGAGTAGTTTGTTAACTATTACTCCCTCCGTCCAGTTCAGTTCCATAGTAGTACAATTATTTTAATTTTACTGAAGTACAATCGCGAGAAGTTATCAGCTCTTCTATATTTTAAGATTTGGTTTTAACATCATTTAACTTGTTTGTGGCCCTTTTTTCTAACAAATACATCTATTGCAATGAAAACTAGCTTGTTTTTGTTCAAATAAGCTCATTCTGGATGTTACGAAGCAGGACTCTTTAATGGGATGGAGGGAGTATTTATCTGTTTTGATTGGTGATAGTAGAAATTAGTTGCTGCTGAGTCTATAGTTTAAACTATAGAAGTAATGTAATACTCTGGACATAATTTGATGGTCGGCGCACATAGTGTAGGTCTTGCTTGTCCCTATTCTCTTTGTGGTTTATCACTGCATGCCCATCTCGCAGTAATTGGTTGACAGATGTAGAGTTGGTCGATGTCCGCTTCATGAAAGACCCAGCTAAAATCATTTTATCATGTCTAAATTATCACAAATTCCTATTAAGCCTCTTTGACATTGCGCGTCATCTCCATGGCAATTCTTGAACTTATTATCCCCAACTCCAGTGCTAAAAGTATTCCAAATATCCCTCATTCCTTAATGGCCGAGACCGCAGAGCTGGCAGGTGACATTTTTTTGTGATGTGAATATTCAATAAGGTAGTCTTCGCACGACTAGAACAACACCCTGATTGTTCTACATAAATGACATATCATTAATAGCTGTAAGAAATCTCAATAAACCCATCCAATTGACATGCTTGGGTATGTACATGAAAATTGGCTGCAAGCCGGTAGAAATGATAATATGTTCTCAGACCAGCAAGTGAGATAGCGACACTATAAGGAGAATACATCACCAGATTGGAAGTCATCAATGGGTCGGTAACACAAGTACACAACTTGTGTTGTTTAGTCCAATCTTTGTTGAGGGGGCGGATGTAGACAGGGTTGTTGAGGAGCTCTGCTCTCATCACATATCTTTCCCTTTCGACTCCGACGTACACCGGCAGGTACTAGTCCGGCACTCCGATGAAGCCAGATCTGAGCTTTATCACCTAGAAGAACTTGGATTGCCTAGATCGAGACAGCTCCGCCATCCTTGCCTCATTCCGGAGCAAGTTGTTTTGCAATGTGTCACCGGCACGCAATAATAGGTGGATCCGCTTCGTTTCCGGAAATCTTTGAGGATTTGAGATTCTGTGAGAAGAAGTTGAAGAGAGGGAGCATGGAGGTGCTGCGTAGGGTTATTCAAAAGGGTAAATAAGACATCTTGCATAAAATATTTCGCCAAATAAGTTAATGAGATTAACATTTCTGGATAGTCCAAAAAGGAAAATGGGAAGAACATTTCAGGTTGGAGGGAGTATGCGTTAAGAATTTTTAAAGGAAATTTATTGAAATGAAGGTTGACGGGGAAGCAATTATAAAATTCTTTTTAATTAGTCACGGGGAACTCAAAGTTTTTCCTCTTCTAGCCATGGGCAAGAGAGGTTCTCCATCTATCTGAAGGATCTCTTCTGATCCCTTAGAGTCATACTTTATCTGTGCTGAACAGTACTTCTAGAAGTTATAGTCTTCTTTTGATGCTCGGCTCCGGTTAATGAACCAAAAACATTTTTCGCCCTTTCTGTTTTGGGAATTGACTTCCTCTTTCAAGAACAAGGCCATTTTCATAAACTATTTCTTTTCTTTTCCTGTTTTGTGCGTTAAACATGATATGTAGTATTATGTAAAGAATGATGTATACAACAGCCCAGTAAGGTCCAACAAATAGTGTGAGGAGGGTGTGTGTATGCATATCTTCGTAAAGGCCTTTAACTCAACACATAAAAACATATCAGAACAATCAATTATTATAAGATGAACAATAGAGGTAAGGTAACTACGTGCTACTACTATATCATATTTATTAATGTTTGTCCCATATCATATTCATGAGTGTTTGTGTAACTTACATTAATATTTACTTTTTCTTTTCAATTAACATCAGTATCAACCACACAATCCTATTTTTTAGTCTGTGTGCTGCTACGTTTTCAAAAAGTAGTGGGACGAAAGGGAGTAACTTTTTAGCAATATATAACCCTTTGAGTTATTCTGTTTTTTCCTTTTCACCAGTTTTAATTTCCCTGTTTTTTTGCTTTCCCAAATAGTCCTTGCACGCCAGTATTAAAGAGGGAACCCAATGGTTGTTCAACAAAGCGAAAGGTTTGCGTCATACGCCTTTATTATTTATTTCCTCCATTCTTTCAATCTGATATGAGTTTCATTTCTTTTTATATTGTCTTCACAAAGCTCGCAAAAACAAATAACAAGCAATTTTAATAGGAATGTTGTGGCTTTCCTTTTTTTATTTCATTTGCAGGAAAGATACAGACACCCCTGCTGGAATTCCTAAAGGAGTACGACTTGCCAAAAGGCATTTTCCCTCGCGACGCAACACACTATGAGTTCAACGAAAACACAAAAGAGCTCGTTGTCCACATACCCTCTGTTTGTGAAGTGGGCTACAGTGATGGCTCTGTTTTGCGCTTTAACACCACTGTGAAAGGATTTCTCGAGAAGGGAAAGCTAGCTGACATCGAGGGAATGAAAACAAAGGTGCTTAGTGTTTGGGTTAAGGTCACTGCCATTACATCTGCAGGACCGAAGCTCCACTTCACGGCAGGGATGAAGAAAACCCGGGAGAGGGCTACTTATGACCACGACAGGAGTGGGGTCTGTGTAGATAAGTTTTAGAGCGGTCGAAGACAACGCTGCGATTGGTCATGTATCTTGTAATGCCTTGTTTGGTTTGATGTGCTACTACGATCAAACGGTACTTTCCTCTTGTCCTTGCTTTCACTGAAACTTGCTGATGTGAAGCTGTAATGTATGTGTATTCATGGATGTCTTTTTCATTTTCTCCCCATGCGCCAAACGACTATAAAATCTGTTTTTAAAATATTCAAAAACGCCAGCATGAAAGTTGCGGGACATTGGATGATTACTTAGGAAATAAATATCATTTCCTAAATAAATCTGTTTTATGAATGATTACTTAGGAAATAAATTTCATTTATAAAATATCATATACGTAATTAGAACTTACAGAGGACTAATTTGAAAAAAAATTATTAGAAAGAACCATTTTGGGATTTACTATAAAATCATTAAAAAAAATCATTAGCACTTCTTCAATACTCCTATCAATGATTGTATTTAGGAAAGGAGAGGTTTGTCGAAGTTAATTATTTTTTACTGGTTTACTCATAAGATTATGAAATGCAAAAAAGAAAAATTGCAAGAACTTAAGGCAATGTAAAATGGAGGAATTGTATGTGGGTGGTGAGATTAGTCATTATATCATTTACAAATTACATTTCTAAACTTGTAGAAAAACATGTTTCATTTTATAAGGTGTAATTTATTGGTATGATATTTTCATTCCCCCTCTCTTGTGTCACAAGAAAAGTTAACACCTTTCAAGAGAAGAATTGTGTAGTTTTAATTTCCTTTCCTCTAGAGGAAGCAACCGCCACAACCGAGTCCCTCACGCCGCCGCCGCCGCACGGTTGCTCCACCTTCATCCTCCACGGCGGCAAGATGTCCCTCCCACATGCCCTGCCGCAGCAGGGAGGCTCGTACAGCATCTGTCCCACGCTCAGCGCCGCCCGGGCAAAACAGGATTCAGCCGGCCGACTAACAATCCAGCCGCGCGAACCCCTGCCGCTAGTCGCCAGCGCCTCAGCGTCCTTCAAAAACCGCGTAAAGATGAAATCCGCCCGCTCGAAACCCTCCCCCTCGTCAGACGACGAAGAAGATTCCTCTTCTTCCTCGTCCGACGACGAGAAAGCGTCGAGAGCGTCAGAGTACAGCAGTAACTCTCTGCTCTCGACGCTCCCTTCGTCATATGTTCTCCCCGGTGGCGGTGAGGGGACGAGACAGACCGCCCGAACATCCCTTGCTCGTTTGGGTTTCCCGGCGGTCTCCTCCCAGGAAAAGGGGATTCGTTTACATATATCATCGCCGTCGGACTCCGCCGTGAGTTGAGGAGCATCATCATCATTGGGAAGGATGGACGCCCTGCGAGTTCTGGCCGATAAAAGTGGGGCGCTGAGATCCAATTTTGTGGGGCATTTCCGTTGCTTATTGTCCGCCGCGGCGGCGGCCTCCATGCATATCATGCTAACTAGTTGCATTCTTGAAGATGGGCCTGGTGATCAAATAATTACAATGATTTTAGTATATTATTGGATTTGATTGCATTTGCAGGCGGCCGGTTTGCTGATTATTTATATTTGGGGAATACAGGTGGGAGATAGTGCGGGAAGCTCGTGGGTATGAAGTATGAACTGAAAAGGGAAACTTTAGTTGTTCACACTTCACATGTTACTCTTGTAAAATTTATTCAGGCAAATACTTGCTAGGCATTCAACCTCATTCAATCCCAACGCTAACTGAAATTTATCTAGACTGAAATTTTAGATAAGATTTTGATTCCAAAATCAATAAAAATTTCGATAGTACAATTAGATGATCTACTGCTACAGAAATTAGTTTTTGAATCGGTTATTTTTGACCTTTTGAATCGGTTTCTAACCGATGCAAAAAGTAGCGATGCAATAGGTAGAAATAATTTTTACACTGGTTTTGCAAAAAGTCCATTATTGGTACATTATTCGCGCTCGAGAAAGACCTTTTATAAAAGTTATTTGGTACTAATTGATTTAAAGGTGCTTCCCATATTTGACATCAGTTTTGGAAAGGTGCTTTTGAATTGGTTATTATCAAATTAAATTACCCATTTAAAAGATCCTTCCTAGAAATGGCACCATTTTTGGTAGAATTAACCTAGGGGTACACTAACATGGGGTATCCAATATGTACACCAAGCCAACACAGACATAAATCGTCTGTGCTGCACAAACATTTTGTGTCTGTGTGTGTCTGTGTTGGCTTGGTGTATATATGGGGTACCCCATGTTGGTGTACCCCTAGCATTGCCTTTTTTTGGTAGGACCTTTTGAATTGGTTGTCAGCAAATAATTGATTCAAAAGGTCTTTCTCTGGAAAAAAACGCCAGTTCTGGGAAGGATTTTTTGAAGTGATTGTTTGATAATTACCAAAGAATCGATTTAAAAGATATTTTTTAAAATGAGCAGAAACTGGAACAGAACAGACCAACACTTTCTTCAATATGATTAATAAAACTCATATAACTTATATTAATACTTACTCATCTTCAAAAGTCTTCATTTTCATTTTCTTATTCTCTCCGGAGGTGCGGGGGTACGTTAGGATGAGTCCGGTTGGGGGTTTACCAAGGTTTAGGATTAGAATAGGAATAATCAATTTTTTGATCGAAGTGCTTTAGGTACTCCTTGAATTGGTGTAAGATTACTTCTCTTTAAAAGAATATATGTTCGGTAAAACAAAAACAAATCCAGAAACGAAATCGGCAAAGATTTGCAAACTCCGATCCCCAAAACAAAACAAGGGGGACTCCATGTCAGATGAATTGAGGGCCCGTTTGGTACACGTAATTGACAGAATTGAAATTGAGTTGGAAGTTAAAATTCTAAGGAATTGAGTTGGATGGAATTGAATTTTCCAATTCCAATTCATTTTTGGCACTACCAATTCCAAATCTACAATAGGGGTGAGCAAAAAATCAAATTAGCATGGTATCGAACCAAACCATAATGGTACCGTACTGTTTGGTTTGTTTTGAGATGGGATTTGATTTGTTTCATCATGAACCGATCACGAACCACTCTCAAACGGGATGGGACTGTGATACGAAAATTAAATACCGGTAATCTCGGACCGTTTTAAATTCTATATATTTTGTAAAAATTATATTGGACTATTAAAGATATTAGGCATTAAAAATCACTAATTTTAAAATTTAAGTAGTTTTGTTAATTTATTTTTTTGTAGGCTAAAGACCTTAGCGCCCAAAACCCCTTACAGCATTGGCAGCGGTAAGGATTTGCCTTGCCACGCCCTGCCACCCGTGGAGATCCAAGAGACACAATGGGAGTGGCAAAAATTGGGTCGCATGGCATGCCGCGAGCCACTCTGATTTGCGAGGCGAGTGCGAGGCAAATAGGAGCTCTGACCAAAGCATCTGGGAAATAATCCGGCCGCTTCTCATCATCTCTATCCTCTGCGGAAATCACCAGCGGCACCCCTCTTTGGAAGTCAGGTCCGCTTTCGCCACCATCGCCGACCACCTCGTTGGACTCTCAGGTACCATCTGCTACTCATCTTTTGTTTTGATTACTCTGAAATTCGCCTCTTCTCTCTACCCTAATCTCATCCTCAATCTCATCACCCCTTCTCTTTGCCCTAATTCAATGAATTTTTTTTTGTCCTAGTACACACAAGTTGTTCGACAAAATAATAAAAGATGATCCATAATAAGAGCTCTTGAATGCCTCATAATTTAGTCCACACAATATGTTTCATCATTCTTTCATTTTTAATTTATAAAAGAATGTGAAAAATGTGTAAAAAATGTAAAGTAAGATAAAAAAAAGTGACTTGCCACTGCAGGATAATGTCATGTCACTGTGTGACTAGATTAGTTTTGATTGGTTGAATTGTGTCATGTCAGCGTGTGGCATTCCAATGTATCCCTTGCCGTTCATGCTCTAAATAGCCCATGGTGTCATTCTGGCTTGAACTCATAAAAATGAATTTACTCCCAAATTACAAATTAGGCTCAAATATTCAAAATTGACAAAATATATCATTAGTTCTGTAGAATCGTAGCCTCCATTTTGTGTCTCGATGAGAATAGTAGAACTTTGAGCACTCGAATAGGGCAGAAATCAAAAGGTAAAGATTGAAGCTCCTTCTTCAGTTCTTCCCCATCGCTTGATCGCTATCTAGAGACCAGAAATCGAATGGGCAGATATTGAAGCTCCTTCAGATATTGAGAACAGGTCCACAATCTCTTTGATCTCTCCACTTATGATCGCATAGTGAGATAATTGTGATAATTAGTCATTTTGTAATTATGATCGCTTTATCCTCATTTTGATTGCAGAAATTGAAGAGTCTTAAAACACTGATACATGTGGCTTGAAAGTATTATCTTTTCTTGGTATGTTTATCTATCAATTTCTACAAAGGAGCAGCAGGTACACATGCTGGGTTTGTTTTGAGTTTTTACTTTACAATGGTTTAACATGCATGGAGTATGAATTTAACTTTTGTTAATCGGTTTAGGTTTGTTTGTTTTCTATTTTGTTAATCAGTGAAAAGAGAGCTAGATTATTAGATATCTAACTTTTGTTTTTTATGTCACCTCTTTTTAGGAAAATTTAACGAAGAAAGAGAGAACAGTATCATTCCAGGTGGATTGTGATGTTGCAGTTACCCCAATTGTCCCCTCAGGTGTTTGAGATCATTTTTTCCCATAGTGGATTAGAAACAAGAAGTATGAGAAAGACATGGAAACTCAAAAGCTTGTGGAGGTCATTACATGGAAAATGAGAGCTAAATGTAAGTAATGTCTAAAGCATCTTAGAGATTATGCTTGTGATACTGGACCTAATGGAACTGGAGGGCCAACAAAACATATTTACAATAACCAATGCAAGTATTATGTGGGAAATCTGAATTTTAAAAAACAAAAAATGTTAGTTCTAGGTGATTTCAATCAATTGACAACAAGGACTTAATCAATACCTATTTGAAATCAATACATTTTTAAATAAAGTTGTGCGTTTTTATAAACAATTATACTTTTATTTTAATATTCTTTGAGTAATGCATGTTTAATATTTTGGCACGATTTGAGCATGGCTATTGTACTGTACTGTTCCATTTTAAAACTGAATGGTACAGAATGGTTTTAAGGTTCATCCCCTTATCGATACCAAATCATTTAAATAAGAGCGGTCCGTGATAAGTCCCGGTAATATCACACCCACTCCTAATCCACATATTTTTGTGTTATCAAACAATATAATTGGAATTGTTGTCCCCAATTTTAATTACATAGTTTGAATTCCATGTATCAAACTGTAGAAACTGATTTACTCCAAACTTGTGTTTTCCATTAGTCTCCGGAGATATATATACATGACAGAGTAAATAACCTACGGGCCCATAATATACACGGCCCAATACAAATATAAACAAATATGTACAAATACACTAATCTAACACTCCCCCTCAAGTTGGAGCATGAATATCATAAATGCCCAACTTGGACAATAAACTATGAAAAAGAGGACCGGAGAGGGCTTTTGTGAAGATATCTGCTGTCTGAAAACGCGTAGGGACATATGCAGTGACAATATGATTACGCTGAAGGCACTCCCGGACTATATGACAATCAATATCAATGTGTTTCGAACGTTCATGAAAAACTGGATTTGCCGCGATGAACAAGGCAGACTTGTTATCACAATATAGACGAGGAGTTGCAACACACGGGACATCCAAAGCGGCCAAGATCCCACGCAACCAACGAATCTCAGCGCACGCATGCGCCATAGCACGATACTCAGCCTCCGCAGAAGAGCGAGAAACAGTTTTCTGCTTCTTTGTGCGCCAGGAAACAGGAGAACCACCCAAGAGAATAAAATAACCAGTGACAGACCGCCGTGTGAGGGGACAACTAGCCCAATCAGAATCAGAAAAGGCGGTGAGAGCGAGATTGCTATCACTGCGCAATAAAATTCCCTGACCGGGGTGTCCCTTTAAATACCGAAGGACACGAAGAGCCGCATTCCAATGATCAAGACGAGGAGCCTGCATAAACTGAGACAGAGTGTGAACAGCATAACATATATCAGGACGAGTGATAGTGAGATAAAGCGGGCGGCCCACAAGACGACGATACTTAAGAGGATCCCGAATCTCAGCGCTAGTGGAACGAGCAAGATTATGATTAACGGGCAAGGGTGTGTCGGCAGGCTTACACCCAAGGAGATTAGCCTCATCAATAATATCAAGGGCATATTTACGCTGATTGAGGACCATACCATCGGGAGAACGAGCACATTCGATCCCCAAAAAATAGGACACCGGACCAAGATCCTTGAGATGAAAACAGTTATCCCAATATTTCTTGAGCGAAGTGCACAAAGACTTGTTGTTACCTGCTACTAAAATATCATCAACATAAACAAGAACAACCAACATGTCAGGACCACGCTGAAGAACAAAAAGAGTGTGATCTGCATGAGCCTGACGAAAACCATAACGTCGTAGAGCAATACGAAGCTTGGTGAACCAGTTACGAGGAGACTGACGAAGGCCATACAGAGACTTACGAAGACGACAAACCTTCCCGGGAAAGAGGTGAGTGTAACCTGGTGGGACTTTCATGTAGACTTCCTCCCGTAAATCACCATGCAAGAAAGCATTATTAACATCCAACTGATCAACCTGCCACCCACGAGCCACTGCAACAGATAACAACACACGAACAGTGGCTAATTTGGCCACTGGGGCATCAGTAAAATCAACTCCAAGCTCCTGATGATTGCCCAAAACAACAAGGCGTGCTTTGTCACGCTCCTTAGTACCATCAGACCGATATTTCGTCCTATACACCCATTGACAACCAAGAGCACGCCGATTAGGAGGAAGATCAACCACATCCCATGTATGATTACGTTCCAGAGCCAAGTATTCAGTAGCCATAGCTTCCCTCCACGAAGCAAATTGGACTGCTTCACGGAAGTTGCGAGGAACACTCGTGGCGTCAATAGCTCCAAGAAAACCTTTGTACCTGCCATGCAACTTAGAATAATGAACAAAGTTAGTGATAGGATACCGAGTACCAGATGATGACGGAGAGGAAGAGACTGGATCCGGAGTGACGATCTTTGCGGAATGAAGGACATAGTCATTTAAATGAGAGGGACGACGACGCATGCGAGGCGGAAGGGGTGGAGGTATAGGCGGTGGAGAAGTGGTCTCCACCGGAGAAGACACGGCGCTGTCGTCGTCTGATGAAGAGATGGGGGAACTGGCGGGACTGGACGAAGAAGAGGACGGGGACGGAGACTGTGACACTGCCGGCTGGTGGGTGGGGACTGGTACGGCAGTCGGGGCTGGAGACACTGCCGGAACCTAGGGTTTTGGGTCGGCAGGGGTGACGGAGGGTGGAGGGACGACAAAATCAACGGGGGATGGGGTGAGGGTGGGTTGAGGAAGAGACGAGGGAGTAGGAATTGCAAACGGAAAAGTAGTTTCATCAAAAGAAATATCCCTCGTATGGAAAAATTTATGTGTGTCAAGATTATAAACTCTCCACCATTTGGTCCCATATGGATATTCCATAAATACACATTTGACACTTCGTGGGGAAAATTTATTTCTAGGTTTGGGAATAGGATGGACAAAACAAAGGCACCCAAAAACCCGAAGATGACTGAGGTCTTGAGGTTTACCGGAAAGAATTTCGAGGGGAGATTTACCACCGAGAATTTTAGTGGGTGTACGGTTAATTAGGTAAACTGCAGTTTTAACACACTCCCCCCAAAATTCTAGTGGAAGAGACGCTTGAAACATAAGGGAACGGGCGACATTCAAGATGTGACGATGCTTACGTTCTACCCGCCCATTTTGTTGTGGGGTACCAACACAAGACGTTTGTATACACACACCCAAGCTGTCATAATATTATCGTAAGGAGGAATTGAGAAACTCTGTACCATTATCAGAACGAACAACTTTTATTGTTTTGGAAAACTGGGTGTGGATCATAGTGAAAAAACGACGTAAACAGGAAGTGACCTCACTTTTAGACTTTAGCAAATAGACCCAAACAGCCCGAGAATAATCATCAACAATGGTCAAAAAATAATGTGCCCCAGACGAAATACAAGGTGAATAAGGACCCCACAAATCACAATGAATTAAGTCAAAAATAGCATCAGCTTTATTATCACTGGTACGAAACGAAGAACGAGTTTGTTTAGACAAGAAACAAATTTCACATGTTTGCAACTTTCTGACAACAGACTGAGTTTTATTGGTACCAACAAAAGAAAGAACATCTGCGGAGGGGTGGCCCAACCATTGATGAAGAACAAGGGGATCAATATTAGCTACGAGGGCTGACGCAGGAACTGGAGCAAAGACGTACACGCCGTTTCGCAAATCACCCTGACCAATCACCATCTTCGACAAACGGTCCTGTATCACACAACAATGATCATTAAAAGTTACACAACAAGTATTATCACGAATTAAACAGCCCACAGAAATCAAATGACAATGTAAGTTTGGTACGTATAACACGTTACGAAGTACCAAACGAGAAGATAAGTGCACACTTCCTTGTTTAACAGCCTGAACACGAGACCCATCAGGGAGACATATAGAATGAGGAGACACGTCCTCAATATTAAATAAGTGGGCAAGAGAACCTGTCATGTGATGCGAAGCACCACTATCAATGAGCCAGTCGGGAAGAGAATTACCGGTGTAAGCATGAGATGCCGAGGCCTCTAACATAGACATCAAGCGAGACATTTGATCACTGAGATTGCCACTTGAGTCCGACACGGAAGCATGAACTGCAGCCTGACCGCCGCTGCCACTGCCTGGGACGGACTGCCCACTGCCGGCAAGAGCTTGAGAGGCGCTGCCATGCCGAGGACCACCACGGCCACCTGACGACGAGCCACCACGACTGCCACGACCACGTCCTCCACCACGAGCAAATTGTGCTGGAAATCCAATAAGCTCAAAACATGTGTCCACGCTATTATTAGTACGACCACAATGCGAACATGATCTGCTTGGACCCGGAGGGCGTTTGTCAGGTCTGGCAGCAAATGCAACGGAGTCCGTGCGATCATCTCGATTACGAATAATGTGGCGATGACGCTCCTCTTGGGTGACCAAAAAATATGCACGGTCAAGGTCGGGCACAGGTTCTGTACCAATAATCTGTGAACGAATATTTCCGAATTGTTCATCATCCAAACCAAGCAAGAAATCCACGGTCTTGTCACGTTCAATACGAGCACGTGTGACAGCCCCGGCTTCACACCAGCAGCCCCCGGTGAGATCAGAAGTACCATTTAATTGATTCCACAAGGTAATGAATTGATTGTAATAAGAAACAACACTTTGACCCTTTTGACGGAGAGAGTTCAACTCTGATTTTAATTGGTAGACACGCGGCCCGTTGGAACAACTGTAGCGTTTCTTCAAATCATCCCACAGCTCATAAGCAATTGAGTGAGACACAATACTTGGTTGAATGGATTCATCAACACTATTAAAAATCCAACTACAAATAATTTGATGATTTGCACACCAAGCAGACAACTCGCCTTCATCAACAGGTTTGGGAACTCCCGTGGGTGACAAAAAAACAGCTTTTCCACGACCACCTAACGCATTACGGATTGCCTTCTCCCACACATCAAAATTATCACTTTTGAGGAGATATTTTGTCAAAGAATTACCCGGACCTTCGGAGGGATGGAGATAGTATATGGAGGAGGCATCATGAATCAGCCTTGCCTTTTTAGGGTTAGAAGAAGCAACTACTTCTCCTGACATGGTGACTATCGGCGAAGGAGACCCGACGAACTGTTGGCGACGAACCGACGGAGAACTGGCGACGAACTGACGGAGAACCGGCGACGATCCGACGGCTAACACTCCGGACTGCACACGAACGAAATCACGAGCTTAGAGTTTCGAGAATTTGCCCTAGGAAAGCTTTGATACCATGTAGAAACTGATTTACTCCAAACTTGTGTTTTCCATTAGTCTCCGGAGATATATATACATGACAGAGTAAATAACCTACGGGCCCATAATATACACGGCCCAATACAAATATAAACAAATGTGTACAAATACACTAATCTAACACAAACAGAGCCTCAAGGATATCAATTAATCCAAATCATATCTTTTCTTTCAAAACCCTCCAGACTCCGGCCACCCACCCCTCTTCTCGTTCATTCACGTCTTTTCTCCTGTCGTTCAAGAGTGCTTCTTTGGTACACCTTAGGTACATACCATTGTTGTGAATCTTCTCACATAAAAAAATAATTTTTTTTACTTTTTACTAATAAAAATAGATTCTTATTTAAGTAATGAAGAAATATCTTAGGTCCACCATAGAATTTTTTTTCGTCTTCAAATGATTTTTCATCATTGTGAAATTAAAAATCATTATGATTTTTTATATTCCTCGCTCCTTCTATCTCCGTTTCCACATATATGGAAAAAGTCTTTCCATGTCTCTCCTATATTATCTTGATATATAAACGATTAATTTTACTCGATATTCCAACCATATTCTTTTAGGTTCGACCCTTACATTTTATGGTCTTTAAGCCATTACAAAAGTTTGAATTCTCTTATAATTATTTAAAAAAAGAGTAACGCTTGATGGATTAAAATGATTGTGTGTCATAATACTATTCTACTCCATATATTTACTTACAATTGAAAGTTTAAAATCCTAAATTAATTTTTTTTACAATAATACTCCCTCCGTCCCTAAATAAAGTTCCTCTTTCGTTTTTTCTTTGTCCCTAAATAAACTTCTCTTTTCCCTTAAAAAATCCCTTTTACCCCTTACTTTTTCATACCCTATCTATCACATCATACCTTTTTACTAATAATCTACCTATCACATCTTACTTTAACACATCACATCAAGAGTATTTTTAGAAAATCAACACCAAAATATCCCTCTCTTAAATTCTCAAAAAGTCAAAAATAGAACTTTATTTAAGGACGGAGGGTGTATATATTACTAGTATCATTAGAGAAGAAATAATAATGGCCCCTAGGAGGCAGCCCCATATACCTACCCCAGGGTTGGCACTGTTGTCTTTGTCGTTACGCCCAAATTCTAACAAATGATCAATTGAAAAAGGAAAAGATAAAATACGGAGTTTATAGTTTGACCATGAAATAATAAAGAGAACTCTCATCTGTTGAGACGATGAGATTACTATTTTATGATATGGAAGGGATTTTTTGGTCATTTACCACCGAACTCTTCAAAAATTACGTGGATTTCTCTTAAAATTTAGAAATTGCACCAATGGTCCCTAAACTTTTGAAAATACTGCACCAATAGTCCCTCTACATGAGATTTAATAGTGCATTAATCACAAACTCATCAATATATCTGTTGGAGGTTTAGACTTTAATTTGATGAAGATGTCATGATTGAATTGATCAAGAGATTAATCCATTGATGAGAGCTAAATCGATCGATGGGGTCCCGGGCTTTGAGTTTGGTTATCGATAGGTAAAACGAGATTAATTATTAAGGGTCTCAAGAGGTTAAAAGTATATACTCCCTCCGTTCCAAAAAAGATTGGTAAATATTGACTTTTAAGGAAATTAAAGGAGGGATATTTTGGTGTTGACTTTCCAAAAATACCCTTGATGTGATGGGTAAAAGTAGGATGTGATGGATAGATTATTAGGAAAAAATATGATGTGATAGGTAGGGTATGAAAAAGTAAGGGGTAAAAGTGGTTTTTTAATAGAAATGTAATGGACTTTACATGACGCAGTTTTTTCGAAACGTGTCGAACTTTTTGGGACGGAGGGAGTAGAAGATAATGTTTGAAAAAGGTACGGAGTATATTACTACACTCACGTGTGATATATGATTTTAGATGAACCCGTACTTGCAATGGACGGAACCTATGATTGACGCACTCTTAAATCCATTTAAATCCATTGCAGAGAGAGGGACCATTGATACAACATTTTTAAAAATTCAAGCATCATTGGTGTAATTTTTAAAGTTCAAGGAAAATCCATGCAAATTTTTTTTGGAGGGGGGGTGGGGGTTAATGGTGTGAAAAACTTGATATGAAAGTAAAGTTGATAAACCTGTACTCCGTAGCAAATAGCAATTGATACAGAGTATTTATATTATATATTTTTCAATAACTTCTTGCAATATTGGAGTATATTTCTTTCGTCCCATAAAACTTGTTAAAGACAAAAAAATACCCCTTAAGAATAAATATTTTTTATATTATTTTTTAATTATGACTTGTCTATCTTATACTCTAGATATTATATCGTTCCTTATTATAAAGTAAAAAAATAGAAAATAACATCAAACGTATACATTTTAGTGTGCTTTTTTTATTTTTTTATGAAGGAAGAACCAAGGAGGTAAAAGAAAATAATGGTCAAAAGTAAACAACGAAAAACATGAAAAAACAAACATAGATTTACTCCGTATTTAAGTAGCGGCTAACAAACAAACAAGTAAGATACTCCCAAAATCCTTTTTGTTAGAAAAAAAGCATACCTTTCAAATGAATAATTTTGATGTTATTTTCTAATTTTTTTCTTATTTTATAATAGAGTATGATGAGATGTGTATAATAAATGAGTTATAATTAAAAATAAATATTAAAATTACTCAATTTAAACGTATATATTTTTTCAAACAAGAAGAATTTTATGAGAGAAAGAGTACAATTTTGTCCATTTGAAAAGTTGTGCACATTTAAACCAGAAGTAGCGAGAGAGAAAAAAGTTTTCAATTGTTGTCATAGATTATATACTACCTCCCTTCAGAGTATTTGTCTTTTTTCGAGTTAAACTGGACAAACTTTAAAATTCAATTACTCTCAATTTGTATTACATATTAGCATAATGAAATACAATTTTGAAAGTTCTAAATCCAATAAAGTAATTTTTATATTAAAATAATTTACGGTTTTATTTAATTGAAGATCAAAGTTTGTCCAGTTTGACTCGAAAAAATCAAACTGGACAAATACTTTGGGACGGAGGGAGGGAGTATATGGTGGGATTCTTATTAATTTTATTCAGTCAAGAAAAGACTTGGCAATTTTTCCATCACCACCCTTGGGGTAAAAACCACCGGGCTTGTTCTCTTTCCCGGTCCCATAAACAATTCTCAGGATCTCCTCCGGCGTCCGGTCGTAGGCCAACGAATGCTGATCTCCGGCAAGAATGTTGCCGGAGGTCTTCCCCTCCGGGCCCTCGGTTCGCGCCACGATCAACCCTTCATCTTTCATCCCTTTTTTACCCAGCTTGTTCCTCAGCCCGGAAATGTGGCCGGTGAATTCCGCCACCGTCATCCCGTACGGCGCCACCACTTCCTTCTTCCGTTCGTAAAGCAACGTCCTTAGCACTGCGTCTTGCCCTGACTCCACGCCCAGAAGTCCCGCCACTAACTATTCGATCAACAATCAACACCATATAAAAGTATTACGCAATCACTAGTACTGTATTAATTAATTCCTTCATTAACATATATACAAAACACATATATACTCTCTCTGTCTCTTAATCTCGTTCTCCTTCTTTTTCTTGTCCCCCAAACTTTTTCTTTTTTCAATTAAAAATCACATCTATCCTACTAATTTCTAGTCTATCTATCACATTATATTATACTCCCTCCGTCCCATAAAGTGTTACCCATTTTGATTAAAGTTGAAATTAAGGGAGGGATAATTTTGGGTTGACTTTCCAAAAATACCCGTAAAAGTAGGATGTGATTTGTAGATTATTATGAAAAAGGTATGATGTGATAGGTAGGGTTTGAAAAAGTAAGGGGCAAAAGTGGTTTTTTAATAGAAATGGGTAAGGGATTGTGGGACACAATTTTTTTGAAACGTGTAAATCTTTTTGGGACGGATGGAGTATTTTTTTTACTAATAATCTATTCATCACATCTTATTTCTACTCATCATATCAAGAATATTTTTAAAAAGTCAATGCAAAAATACATCTCCCTTGAATTTCTAAAAAATCGATAAGGGAAGAAATTTAAAGGACGGGGGGAGTACTTTCTACTCTCTAATTCCCAGTACCCCCAGTCCCTACCTCAATCCATCGTTATCTATATCAATTGTACTACGCAAATTTAGTTAATTTCGAAGTAAAAAATTTTGACTTCAAAATCTACTAAACTTGCCTAATCTAATTGGTGGCGTTGGTCGTGGGAGGATGAGTTGACGTCCGGACTAGTGGGGGTTGCCAAGGCTAAGGAGGGACAGAAGTAATCAATTTTGTGAATACAACACCGTAGCTATCTCAATTGGGACAATGTCCTTCATAACCACTTAAAAGACATCATGGCCACAAAACCTAGCCGATTTAGAACATACTCCCTCGGCCATAAAGATTTACTTCATTATTAATATTCACATGATCAAACTATAAATAGTTTTTTTCTATCAATTTTCATTAGTCATTTGATTAAAGAGAAATTTACCTAAATAGGACTAAAACATAATGACTTTCCCAATATAGGACCATATGTTTTTATTTCCCAATGTAGGACTCTTGGTCATTATCATATACTCCCTCCGTCCCAAAAAAGTCTTTCCTGTTTCATTTTTTGCGCATCTCATAAAACACTTCTACCGACATCTAAAATACCTAAAATTTACAACATTTCTTCTTTATTGTGGGTAGAAGTTATTTTGAAAGTTTTTTTGGCATTCAAGGTGGGATAGAAGTGTTTTATGGGATGCGCAAAAAATGAAACAGGAAAGACTTTTTGGGACGGAGGGAGTAGTCATTATTCATTATCATGAGATAGTGATGTCACCTTCTATTTTGTCAACCTTTAGATGTAGTTTCTAAATATATATCTCTTCCGTCCTAAAATATTCTTCCCGTTTCTGTTTACGAATCTACCGATTTTATTTTGAATTCATTTTATTTGATTGTAGATGTAAAATTTAAAAATAAAATTTATATTTAAAAAGTACATCAAAAGTTCTAAAAAACAAGAGGTAACAAGACTATATTATTTTATCATAGGTAAAGAAAATGATTAAAACTTAACTATGTGAATAATAACTGGGAAGAACGTTTTACGACGTAACTTTTATCAATCTTTTTTTTGAACAAATTTTTTTATTAATCTTTAATTTTAAAACTATAATGGAATAATAAATTGATTAATGTAGCTAGCTACTTTAATTTAGATACCCTTTTGGCGGTGGCGCTACGGAGTTTGGGGTTTGCTCCAACGTAGCCGGTGAGTCCAACGTAAGGAACAACGTAACTTGCGATAAGGAAATTGATATCGCTGGCGTAGGGATCAAAAGGCGGTCTCAAGGGGCGCCCGAATGCGTTGTCCATAACTGTACCAAATGCTTCTTTGCTCAAATTCAGTAGCGGCCTCGCAAAACCTGGAACCGTTTCTTTGATGGCCCTGCATCATAATATGCATGCGCCCGCTAATAACTACGTCACACAATTAAAATACTTTTTCCCTTATTTTTTATTTTTCCTAAATACTTTACTTTCGATTAAAAAAATACTTTTGCCTCTATTTTTTCTTACTCTACGTATCACATCATACTTTTTCAATAATAATCTACGTATCACATCTTACTATTACCATCACATCAAGACAAAATTGAAAAGTCAACCAAAAATATACACTCTTTATTTCTCCTAAAAGTCAAAAAAGGAACCGTTTTATGAAACGAAAAGAGTAATATACTTATTCCACCTCCATATCTCTTTTGGGACGCTAGCCCTTGAATTGGTTTTCATTTTCATAACATTTTAATAAGTACTAATATACTCCCTCCGTCCCATGAAACATGAGACTTTTGCTTTTTAGGAGGAATTTAAGGCTAGTGTATTTTGGTATTGAATTTCTGAAAATGTCCTTAGATGTGATTGGTACAAGTATGATTTGATGGATAGATTATTAGTAAAAAGGTATGATGTGATAGTTAGAGTATGAAAAAGTAAGGGGTAAAAGTGACTTTTTAATAGAAATGAGAAGTGTTTTGTGGGACGGATAAAAAAGAAAGGAGAAAGGTTTTATGGGACGGAGAGAGTACAATATTTTACTCCCTTTATCTCACAAAACCTTTTTAGTTTTGACTTTTAAATTAAGAGGAGTGTATTTTTGTTTCGAATTTCCAAAACTGTCATTAGATGTAATGGGTATATATAATGAAAAAGCTTGATGTGATTGGTAGGTTAAAAATTAGTAGTACCAAAATTTATATATATGTGTGTGTGTGTGTCTATATATAGTGTTAGTTTTATTTTTTGTTTTTGTACCAATTTATAAATAAAATAATTTTAGAAAAACATGAAACTTTGCACTTACATCTGAATCCTTTTACGGACAAAATTAGTAGAAACGCTTTGTGGGTTAAGCAGCTTTCCATTCAATTTATTTTTTCTACTTATTTACTTATTCTTATTATTATCAGATCAGATCACACAAGATCAGACCAGGTCAGATTAGATCAAAACTACTTTAACTATAATTGCAATCAGGCCAGATAAGACCATATTAGATAAAATCAGGCCAGATCAGATCAGACTAGACCAGATTAGATCAAATCAGATCTTAAAAAATTAAATCAGATCAGGCGAATGGAACGCAGCCTTAGAGCACCTCCATTAGTCATTACTATAATTTAATCACTATTTAATAAAATGAATGGATGCATGAAAGTGTTTAAACTATTGTGGAAGAGGTGATAGATGGAGAGATTATAATTTGTTTAAACCTTTAAACCCCATCCATGTTGACAAATGGCCCCACCCACTAAATTATTTTATTTATCAATTATATTATAATAAATATTTAATATAGTTACTTATTTTAATTTTTTCCAACAATTGGTTTTTCTCCATGTATACATATTTAGTTGTACACTTATTCTCATTTCTCAAATAAATATTCATACTAAATTGTTGTAAATATTTATCTTTAATTTGGTTCTTATTAATATAAATTCTTATAATTTCTAAATATGTAATTTAATATTTTTATAATATTTTTATTCATCAATTATATAGAATAAAAATGTAATACTATTTTATACTCCGTAAACTATGAGTGGACTATGAATAATTAAATGGATGAATGAATGGATTAAATGGGTCGTGAGTGTTTGTTTAAGAGATAAGATATTTAACTGCATATGATGTAGAGATGTCGTGGATGAGAGAGAATTTTGAATGGATGAATTATAAGATAAGGAATGGGCCTAAATATTTTTGTTCGTGTAAAATAAATAAGTTTTGTTTTTCGATCAGTTGGACCTAATTTTAGCCCGTACTCCCTAAATTTGAATTCGACCAGCAAAATTATTATTCAAAGTTCAATATTTTTTGGTTGATATTTGAATTAAAAACAAGTTAGATCAAATTTTGATACTCCCCCGGTCCCCAAAAAATCATATTAAAAAAAGGTGCTCTTTAAAATATTCCTACAATTTTAATGTTTTTTTTTCAAATAATGAGTCATCTATCATACCCTTTTTATGATATCCTATTATAAAATAATGGCAAAAATTTAAAATAATTTAAAAAAATACATGTATATTTTTAGGGTACGTCTTTTTTGGACAGAAAAGATTTTTTTTAGACGAGATAATACGTCTAAAAGAGAGTTAAATATCCAATCGGACAGATACATAAGTATTTGGATCCACCTATTTGGATTTTATAGTAAAGAAGACAAATTCTATGATGGATCTAACAAAAATAGTATGCATCCAAAGTGTACAATACAAGCATTCAATAAAGAAACTAATTACCTCAAATGCCCGACTTCTTGAAACCCAAATTGAGCGATAATATCCCTCACAAGTGGACTCAATTTGGCGGCCGTTACGCCGACCGGAGACGGGCCGCCGGAGGAAAGACCGGGGTCGAACCTATCAATGCCATGACCCAAAGCACCCCACAAGAAGAACTCCGCTTCCAAGTACTCCAAATTCAGCGGGAACTCTAGCAGATCAACGTCACTTTTCGGCAACACCCCGCCTCGGCCGTCATCCACGCCGGCGGCGGCCGCGAGCCCTAAAAGAGGGGGTGCGGAAAAGAAGAAGAAGAAGTGAAGATGAGGATTTAGAACAAGTCGCATGGTTGTGAGTTACGTGCTTTATTTTAATGTTTGATTTGTGTGTTGAATTGGTAAATTTATTTGGAACGCGTATGTATGTATGTATATATGGGGAAGCTACAAGCGTGCCGCATCGATGACGCTTGCGTACTCATTCTATACGTGTGTCCATTAAATTAGCGAGAAGAGCTAAGACTTCGATCTACGTGGCATCACTAGCAAAATTGTGCACCTCATTTAAATCTACCATATATAGCTTCTATTCTCATAAAATTTAGGAGGCGGAAAGAGTTATTAGATTAGTCAATAAGACACTTAAACTGAACTATATTAAGCCATCTCTTCCGTTACAATGCACCAGCGCTACTCAAGTCTCGCCTCACCGAGGATCTACCCTTGCTGTCGGCGTGTGTCGCAGTTACCGCCGCCGCCACTTGGAAGAAGTTTACCATTTCCGTCACCGGTTGCTGCCGCCACCTCTTCGATCACATTTTAAAGATATTTTTTAATTTCTCACTTTACATATTTAATTAAACTATTATTTATTTATATTTTTTTGTATTAGGTGAATATTTTTTCTTGAAATGGTAAGTATTATTTTTAAATTTATTTCAATGTATTTTCTTTAATTAATATATATTTGAATTGCTTTTGTGTTTATGTTTTAGTTGAAACACAGTGGAAAACGATTGACTACACATTTCCCGAATTTGGGAACGAGGGGAGAAACCTTTGATTGGATTGTGTACTGGCGGGATCAATAATTTTGGAAGCTTGAGTATGCATTATAGTACTTGCTTGGTATTGCTTGTCATTTATAATCTTCCTCCTGAGTTGTGCATGAAGCGCAAGTACATCATATTATCATTATTAATACCTGGGCCTAAACAACCGCCGGGTAATGATATTGGTGTATTCTTGGCTCCAATAATCATAATCATCATCATCTTTAAATATGATATAGAGAATGTAAGAAGAATCTGAATTGTTTCTCGAACTTTCTTATAAAAGTAAAAATCTGTATTTTGAGATTCAACTCTCAACATTTGCTATGACTAGAAACTTTTCTTGATTCTCAAGTCTAGATTTTCTACCTGATATACTGAAGAAGAAACATGGGGTCACCACTCACCAGATGAGAAAAGATATCGAGTTGGATAATCGATTTATTATCGATTTACTATGTCATACAACCACCAACTCTTGATAAGTTATCAAATTCACATTAACATTACATATTGTAAAAAATCTAATTCAATCAAAATATTCCTTTAAATAAGTCAATAAAGGGTTGGATAGAGTAATTGTTGCAATTACTCAATCTAACTCTGACACTAATGATAATGTGGTGTATGATGAAACTGCGAATTACTATGATTGTTGTTACATATCTGCATTTTAAGCCTCTTGGAGAATCATCTCTTTTGATATACACAAGTTACACAACATGCGCCCAACAGTATTGAGGTCGAATTTCCATCTTTCGGGGCAAAAATGTGTCACATTTACAGATCAACAAAAGCTTAAAGATATTGCCAAACAAAATATAGGTAAACTTTCTATGTTTGAAGTTTGGATGATTGTCAGTACACAAAACAATGCGATACAAAAATTGACGTATGAAAAAGTTCCAAACTATCTTGTATTATTCAACAAGGAGCGAAAAAGGTTCTCGAGACAACAAAGACCATCAATAGACCACCTACAAATACGTGCCAACAGCTACAAATATGTGCCAACATGGGGGAAAGACAACACACTTGAGATTCTCAATCCATCTAGCACTAACCGAGTGCTCAATGTATGCCATCAAAGGGAGCTCAAAAGTAGAACTAATCCAACAAAAAAGTCTAATCATCTGGGATTAGGCGTGTATGATGAATAAGTTTGCTTTAGAGGCATTGGATCGCACAATGAGAGATGCAATGAGGTTGTCTAATAAAAACTTTAGAAATGAACCATTTGAAGGGAAACCAGTTGTACTTGGAGGTAATTTTGCCAAATTCTTCCAATTATACAAGGAGTTTCGAGATAGAAAATTGTAGCTGTTACCACAAATTCTTCAAAATTGTGGTTGTATGGTAAAGTTTATATGTTGACGAAGATTATGAGATTGCATTCATCTACGTCCTCTTGCACAGATACAAACACACAAGTTTTTTCTGATTTGATACTCAAAATTGGAGATGAAAAGCTTAGATAAGTGATTGATGGAACAACTAATGTTGAAATTTGTTTCTGAATTCTTGATTCTAGACACGGGTTATCTCCTCAAGAGTATAGTAGACTTTACTTATCTGAACATATTGAAGAATATGAAGAGCTTTTTCTTTAATGATAGGGCTTAACAGGCACCCACGCTCGAGTTTGTAGAAATGGTAAATGAGTTTGACCTATCCCTCATTCTCAAAGATGAAATGATGTACTTGAAAAAAATGATGTACTTGAGTTCTGATTTTTCATGCCATACAAATTTAGATAAAGATGTTGATTGGATAAGAGTTGAATTTTTGAATGAAATTAAATGTTATTGAGGAACATTGGCCAAACATCTAGATTGTGGAATCGTGCAAGATAGTCGTTGAAGAGATGTGAAAAAATGTTATTAGTGCTATTGTGGTTTCAGTAAATTAAGTCGCGGAACATTTTTACATAGCACAAATAAACTTTGTACCATCCGATCTAAGACTACCCGTGAAGTTCTAGACAAGACATTTCCCAAAAGTCTTATGTTTTGCTATAACTATCAACAAAAATCAAGGTCAAACATTGTTATTTGTTTATAAACTTATAGTCAACTTTAAGTTGTTGTTTCATAAGTGAAAACAAAGAGAGTACTCCCTCCGTCCATAACTAAAGTTCTCACTTTCCTTTTTTGGATGTCCACAATTAAATTTCCCATTTCCTTTTTTGGTAACCTTTTTTATCAAAAAGACTTAAATACCCTTCTTTAGCTTTTACTTTTCTTCTCTCCTTCCTTTTCTCCTCTCTTCTTTTTCTTTCTTTTTTCCTTCTCTTGCGTTCTTCTTCTTTCCTTTTCTCTCTCTTTTCTTGTTCTTCTTCTTTCCTTCTCTCTCTTTTATTCTTCTTCCACCTTCGGATTTTTCATTTCTTTTCTTTTTTCTTCTTCAGATTTTTCCTTCTTCTCCCCCCCTTCTGAATTTTCTTTTCTTCATCTTCTTCATTTTCTTCCGATTTTTCTCCTTCTTCTTCTTTCCCCATTTTGATTTTTCCTTTCTATTCTTCTTCTTCTTCTTCTCCCTCTTCTTCCCCCTTCCGATTTGGCGTTTCTAGTCTTCTCCTTCTACTTCTTGTGCGTCAGATCTGGAAAAATCGGATTCAGATCTGTGAATTGGATTCATCTTCAGCGTCGATGAAGAAATTCGATTCAAATCTTTTTCGTCTTCTACATTTCCTTCAGAACTCTTCGCAGGGTTTGAGTTGGAAATTCGCCGGAATTTCTCACTGGATCGCCAGAATCTCACTGGCCGGAATTTTGCAGGGTTTAAGTCGCCGGAATTTCTCTCCGGACGATGGGATGGGCTGCAAGACTTGGCCAGGAACGGCGGGGGCTGTGGGTAAGGTTGAGGGGTATTATGGGAAAGTCAATGTAAATTTTAACTTTTATTAAAATCCGTGCCCGGTCAACCCGGGAACTTTAAATGTGGACGGAGGGAGTATAAAAATATTAGTTCTATATAGATGACAATGAAAACTCTTGCAACTATTCCGAAAATGTCATATACCATGAAGTGTTTTGGAAAATTTGGTATTAAAACAAATTTCATTGAGTACACATTCAATTCCTCAAATATTATTTATTCTACTTTGACATTTTTGTCTATGATATGATATTGAAAATCATGTGAGAATTATATTTTCTTTATTCCAGAAAAAATATTGCATCGAAAAAAATTCAGAATCGACAAAAATTTCATTTGCACGGGTAAAAATACTAGTATATATATGTAAAGTTGAGTGTATTGGTTGTGGTGTTGACATGTGGCATGCCACATGTGCACTAATTAATGACGTGTAGGCATTTCATTGGTTAATTAAGTTTTTTTAAAGATCTTCTAATATATTTTATTGTATTATATTAAATGAATATTATTTTTTGGCATTAAGAACATTACTTTGATTATATTTTGTATAAAACTTTAACATTTTCTACGATTCTATAAACATATATTTCACTATTGTAAAATATACTCTATATTTTAAATATGCAGGTTGGTTGTAAATTTTTTAAAAAAGAGTTTGTATAAGACTCTTTATTATTACTTCAAAAATATTTCACTTTCATAAAAATGAAAAAATGTATCACCTTCAAAGATATTAAATGGTTTTTGGCATTTTTATGTTTTATTTAATGCAATATATTTTTAATAAAATAGTTATAGATTTTTTAGTGCATGCACATCAATATTTAAAATATACTTTTTATTTTAATAAATATACTTTGTACGGAGTATATCTTAGATTACAATTTTTTTTCTCTCTCCTCTCGATAACTTTTGTTTGTTTACGCGATTTCATTAAGAATTTGATAAAATAAAATATTCTTATCAAAAAGTAGAAAATTTTAATCCGTAACCCGCAATTTGTAATCAAATTGCGGAGGGATGGATTACTTACTTTAATGTTTTATGGTATACAGTTCACATTTTTCAAAAATAGATATCTATAATAATTGCCCTATTTTGCACTCACTCCGTGAAAAAAAAATGCTAGAGGTACATCAAAGGTGTACCCCATTTATCCCCCACCCTCCCATTACCACAAAAATTAGCAAAAATTTAAAAAAAATTAAATAAATAAAAAGTAGATAAAAATGGGTGGTGGAGAAGGGGGTGAGGGACAAATGAGGTACATCTTTGGTGTACCCCTAGCATTGCTCTTCACTTTGAAAAATGCTAGAGGTACACCAAAGGTGTACCCCATTTGTCCCCCACCCCCTCCATTACCACAAAAATGGGCAAAAATTTAAAAAAAATATTAAATAAATAAAAAGTAGATAAAAATGAATGGTGGAGAAGGGGGTGAAGGACAAATGAGGTACACCTTTGGTGTACTCTTCTTTCACTTTTATTCAACTAGATTTGTTAGCTTAGGCTGTTTCAAAAAAAAAAAAAAGATTTGTTAGCTTAGGCCACAAATTATAATAAAGGTGTCTATAGCAATAACGTAAACTTGTAGTCTCATGCACGAAATTCAAGGTATGAATTTAAATTGAAAATTTCAATTTCAATTTTCGTATTTGATAGCATACAAAAATATATTGATTTGGAATTGATCTACTCATTGGAATATGTGGCAGTCGCCCCCCACTTAACTTTTTTTAATTTTATGAATAGTACTCCTTCCGTCCTATAATGATCTTCTCGGTTCGTTTTACGAAGTTTGACCGACTTTATTTTCAATTCAATTTATTTGATTGTAGGTGTAAAATTAAAAAATAAAATTTATATATTTAAAAACTACATCAAAAGTTCTACAAAACAAGTGGTGATAAGACTATATTATTTTATCAAATACCTAATGAAAATAGGTAAAGAAAGTGATTAAAGTTTGACCGTGTAAAAAGTGTGTGGGAAGAACATTATAGGACGGAGGGAGTACTAAAATAACTTTTCTTGTGGAAAATTACAAGAACACCCCCTGTAAAAAAATTTGTTTGTCCCCTGTGACATAAAAAACCTAGTTTAAAGGAAAAAATAATCTTTCAAACAAGATAAAAAGGTAAAATATTTGAAATATTTCTATTATTATATGAGATTATGATATAATTTGTCTACTTTAAATATAGTTTTTTACTTATTTAATTATTTGTTTGAAATTAATTTATTTATTTTTGATCATCATAAATCGCTTTAAAGAAAATTATCCATGGTTATATTTTTTCTGGGGCCGCCATTGATTGGTAATACAAAAAATGAATTGAAAAATTTCATTCCATCGAATTCAGTTCTATAGAATTTTAAATCCATTTCAATTTTAATTCCTTCAATTTCATATACCAAACAGATTCTTAATATAATTAAATTAATTTTAAGATGTAGCTTTGATATTTCAAATATTATTAACATTTATGTATAATTATAGTCATTAGTGAAATTTGCGCTAGATAGGACTAAAACATAATGATTTTCCTAATGTAGGACTTAAACTTTTTTTTCCTAAATAGGACTTAATAATGACCTAGTGGAAAGAATAATGTCCAGTAATGATGGACATTTAGTTGAATAATGACTATTTGATAATGACCAAAGGTCCTACATTGAGAAATAAAAACATATGGTCTTATATTGGAAAAGTCATTATGTTTTAGTCCTATTTAGGTAAATTTGTCTAGTTATTAATCATACTGTGAGAGTGCACCTGATACTCCGGGTATAAAGAAAATTTTGAGGCTAATAACTATTTGAAAAATGTTAGGGGTACACCAAAGATGTACCCCATTTGTCCCCTACCCCTTCATCACCACACAAAAAAAGCAAGAAACTAAAACAAAATTAAATAAATAAAAATAAAATAAAATTGAATGGTGAATAAAGGGGTGGAAGACAAATGGGATACACCTTTTGGTGTACCCCTAGCATTGCTCTAACTATTTTATTCTTACCAAGACGACTGTCTAGGATCACAAAAAGGTTTAAAACGAAGAAAGTGGTATGTATTCACAATGGATTATGCTATTTGTCTCCAAGGGTTGTACCCCAATTTGTACCCGCAGTTTTGCACCAACACTTTCTGTTACTGTAAAACTAATTTTTGTTAAATGCACCAACATTTGTGTCTGTGTGAATTTTTTATTAACGCACCAACACTTATGTCGGTGTAAACCATCAAAATGTTTGTGCAAACCTGTGGTGTACAAATGAGGGATATTTTATGGTGTAAGTTTAGCTTGGTTTATTCACGATTTCCAATTTTAGACTTAAGGGGAGATTTCAGGTTTACCATCTTTGGGCGCTCAAGCTTCACGATTTGGATTCCAAAGCTCACAAGTATTTGAGACCTGAAGCTCTCGACGAACCTGGAACTAATTTGCTTCTGGAAATGGAAATGGATATTGATCAGGACGCTAATTCCGGAGGTCAATAGAATGCTCTGATTGACAAAAATTTGTTTCGATTACTTAAAACTTGTTAATTGAATTCTTTATTTCTGAAACTAGGAAGAAGTAGAGCAGATGGGAAGAGCAGTACAGCAATAATGGCGATGATGGTGGGTGCGCCCGGAAGTGGTAAGTCTACGTTCTGCGATCGGGTCATGAGCGCATCTTCCCGCCACTGGGTTCGTGTTTGCCAGGTTCATCTTCTGCCTTTTCATCCTCTTATGGTGTATCTACTACGTCTATGAACTATTGCACTTGACATGTTCGACAAATTGCGTGAATGGGAAATCCATTTTTCGTCTACACATGCTTATATTCTCTCAAAATTCATGTGCATCTTTGTATGTACAATGTGGATATTTTCTTCATCATATTCTACTATTGGCTTGGAGAACTATGTAAGTACTAAACGTGTGTAAACGGTTCTGGAGAAAGGATCTTAAGTATAATAAACAAAGGAAGACTAAAATGAAACACATGCAGTTCTTGATGCAAATAGGTGTTCATGTTATTCTTGGCTGGTTTGGAATGGTAATACTAAGTTGTTCCCTATAGTGTAGGATACAATTGGTAATGGCAAGACAGGGACAAAGGCAAAATGCTTAACGGCTGCAACTACTGCTTTGGGGCAAGGTAAAAGTGTGTTTATAGACAGGTGCAACTTGGATAGAGAACAACGTGCAGACTTTATGAAGCTTGGTGGTCACTCAACGGTTGAGAAGCATGCAGTGGTGCTTGACCTTCCTGCTAAAGTTTGTATATCTCGGTCTGTGAAACGCACTGGCCATGAAGGAAATTTGCAAGGCGGGAAATCTGCTGCAGTTGTTAATAGGATGCTTCAAAAGAAAGAACTGCCTGTGTTGAGTGAAGGATTTGCACGTATTACATTTTGTCAAGATGAAAAAGATGTTGAAGCTGCTATTGATACGTACTGTGGACTTGATTCGTCGGATTCACTTCCATCAGGTTGTTTTGGTCAGAGGACTCCAAATGTTAAGATTCAACTTGGCATAATGAGGTTCCTTAAGAAAGTAGATCCTGCGGGAGAAAATGGTACTTCTACATCAGCTCCTGCCTCCAATGATGCAAAGAACAGTGAGGAGCTAGAAACTGCTGCATCTACTTGTGTTTCCACGTATTCACACAATGTTCCTACCTTAGCATTTCCTTCCATTTCTACAGCAGATTTCCAGTTCAATCTTGAGAAGGCATCTGACATCATAGTTGATAAAGTAGAAGAATTTGCGGATAAACTTGGAAATGCTAGGCTTGTTTTGGTGGATTTGTCGCGTGAATCAAAAATACTTTCCATGGTCAACAATAAAGCTGCAAAAAAGAATATCGACCCTAATAAGTTTTTTACATTTGTTGGTGATATAACTCAGCTACATTCTGTTGGAGGGTTACACTGCAATGTAATTGCTAATGCTGCCAACTGGTAAATTTTGTCTCTTCATGGATTCTGTTTTAAAAGAGAACCCAACACTGTTATCTCTTCTATATACACCAATATAAAAACTTACTCATTAGTAAAATAATGGAAACATGAGTTTTTTGCAGGCGACTTAAACCAGGAGGAGGTGGGACAAATGCAGCAATATTCAATGCTGCAGGTCCAGCCCTGGAATGCGCAACCAAGGAAAGAATTGGATCCCTAGCACCCGGAAAAGCTGTTGTGGTTCCTCTTCCTTCGTCATCACCCCTGTTTAGCAGGGAAGGTGTAACTCATGTGATACATGTTGTTGGGCCTAATATGAATCCCAAGAGACCTAATTGTTTAAACAACGACTATGTTCAGGGTTGCAAGATTCTTTCTGAAGCTTACTCATCACTTTTTGATGGATTTGCATCGGTAATAAGGAGCCAGGGAGATTTTTATGAGGGAAGTTCCTTTGAATCACAAGATCCACAGTTAAGAGATTCTCAGAATTGTAGCCAGAAGGTTAAGAGGGAAGCTGATTTTGAATCCACGAGCAAAAAATGTAAAAGCTTTCCGAAAGAACGCGGACCCTCCAGTGAGTGTCTTCTTGCTACAAACTGCTTTCAGCAAAAAGATTCGAACAAAACTTGGGGCTCATGGGCACAAGCACTGTATGACATTGCCATGCATCCTGAAAACTATAAGAATGACGTGTTAGAAGCATCGTGCGATGTTGTGGTGCTGAATGATAAGCATCCAAAGGTTTTCTGTTTTTAATGTCTTTCAATCTCATTTCGAACACCCTGCCTTTGTCCTGGTGGCTTTTTTTTGCTTTACTAATTGCAGTCTATTTTTCTGACAGGCTCAAAAGCACCTGCTTGTGTTGGCAAGAGTTGAAGGCCTTGATCAACTCAAAGATATTTGCAAAGAGCACATCCCAGTGCTTGAGACTATGCATGCTGTTGGCCTGAAGTGGGCAGAAAAGTTTTTGAATGAAAACGAATCATTAATATTCCGTCTTGGATACCATTCAGTATGGTGTTACATCAATTGTTATTGTACTTTGCAGTTCACACTCCATGTTTATGTTATGAGAGCGTTTGGGATGACTTATTTTTAGGAAACAAGTAACTATTTGATGAACAAAAGTACTCTTTTTGAGTTTTTTTTATGATTAAAGCACTTATTATAAATAAGTCATCTCAAACAAGCTCCATAGCTTCATAGATATATACGTGTGTGATATGAAGTCCATTGCTGCAGGAGCCATCAATGCGACAGCTGCATCTTCATGTGATCAGCCAAGATTTCAACTCGAAGAATCTGAAGAATAAGAAGCATTGGAACTCGTTCAACACCCCATTCTTCCGGGATTCAGTTGATGTGATAGAGGAAGTCAGTCAAAATGGAAAGGCTACACGGAGGGATGACGAAGAAAAGTTGCTTGCAATGGAGTTGAGATGCCATAGATGTCGTAGTGCCCATCCCAACATTCCCAGACTTAAGGCACATGTCACCTCATGTCTTTCCCCTTTCCCTTCTTTCCTGCTCGGCAATGGCCGTTTAGTTGCCAAACCGAGCAAGCTGCAGACAAATGGATAGATGCCATTTGGGAGAGCCGGTGCCACAGGCGCACAATGTCTCTGGCAATTTTTCACTCAAAATTGTCCCCTTTTCCCCGGCCCAATGTGTTGTGCCTAGTCCAATAATTATGGTGCCCTCGCCGGATTATGCTGTCCTAGAAAAAGCCTTCTAAGGCAACTAAGTTTTTGCCTGGGTCTTGACATTGCTTTAAAATTCATGTCCTTAACTCATAAGCACATGCTTGGTTTGCAGTATCAAAACATTAGGAATTAGGTTCCATACAAAATGGAACATGGAACAGGAAAAAAGTTGGCTATTTTATACGGAGTATATTGGTTTATCCATCATAATCATAAATATGGAATAGAATATGTCAGGAATTAGGAATGTTATTCTGGTGGTTTCCCTCAGACGGAAAAAAGGAAAATATATTTCCTAAAGTGGAACATTAAATTCCCCAGAAGGACAATCGCACATATTACATGCGAAACCCAAAAAAATTAAAAAAAAAAATCAGAACTGACGATTTGTCAGTAAAGTTGGCCCGGGTGAAACCGCATGTACTACATGCGAGAAACCTTTTTTTTTCAGTTTGCATGTGCTACATGCAGAAAGAGTCCACTCCCACCTTTTTCACTCCACCACGGCACCCTTCATTAAAACCCCTCCTTTCCACTACTTTTCCACCCCACCTTTTCCACTCCACCACACATTACAACCACTCCCATCCCAACCATTTAACTTCACTCACCCCTTCATCTTCTTAATTCACTCACATTTTTCTTTATTTAAACTACTCCTTCACCCACTACTCTAATCACTCTTCAAATTTAACTTATCCTTACACTACTACATTACATTCAACATTTCTCAGGTATTTTTTTATTACTTATATTTCAGTTAACTTTAAAATATTAATAATATTGATTATAAATGTTAAGTTTTTATTAGTTTTCATTTTTATTTCATTATAGATTATGTTTATATATTATCAACTATGTGCTCCATAATATTTTGAATTTTTTATAAAAATGTAGGAAAATTTTTTGTTCTAAATTATGTGTTTTAATGAATATATTTTTTTAGATAGTGTTTACATGAATATATATATTTTTTTCGAAATAGGTATGTTTTGTATGCACTAATATTAAGAATAAAAAAATATCTTTTTATTATTTAATTTTTGTAGTGCAAAAATGGATGACATGGAATAAGAAAGAGAGATGGAGAGAGAGATAGCGGGCCTTAGAATAGATGACATGTTACATTTACAGAGTACTCATCGTTCTAGTCGGGTGTGGAAACTTCAGGATTTTTGCGACAATAAACTAGTTTTAGTTAGATATCATAATCGCATCCCTACTGTTTTTCATGACCCCAGGGTTCTCCAAAATTTACGGAGGGCTGGATTTTATGGGGTACACCGTGTGCACCCAATTAGATTTGATCATGGTTTAATCACTGCTCTCATTGAGCGGTGGAGACCGGAGGTGCATGCTTTTTATTTCCCTTTTGGAGAGATGGGTATCACTTTACATGATGTAGAGTGTCTATTGGGTCTCCCCGTTAACGGATTTGCATTTCTTGGGTTGAGACGCACCGTAGAAGAGAGAGACCATGATTTTTTGCATGCTCTGAACTGGACACCTCTTGATGAACATCTGGGCCGTCCTGACCAATTTAAGATCAAAGAATTGTTTCCACGAAATCCTGAGCAGCAAGTTCAACCAAATCCTACAATAAAATGGTTGAATCATTTGAAAAAAGGCACAAGATTGATGTTCCGTGGATGCAGAAGAACATCCACACAACTCCTAAAATCACAACAATTCTTCGACACCGCGAGAAGACAAAGCACAAGTGGGTAGCTACAAATTATGGTAACTATCAGTATATAGTTAGCCATACTTCTCGTTCTGATCCAGGTGCTACGTACAATTATATGGTGGATTTGGCTAATAACATTTGCACGTGTGGACAATGGATTGCAGATGGAATTCCTTGTGTGCATGTTCATGGCGTGTATCATTCTTTTCAACAACTTGCAGATGCTCGTGTTCTAGACAAATACTCTGTTCAGAGATATTTAAGTTGTTACAGTGGTTGGATTGAACCGTTCATTTTTCCAGAAAATTTGAATGTNTGATTGGAAAGTCTTGCCAACGATACGTCCTTTAGAAGAGACTCCCCGTCGAGGACGTCGTCAACAACTTCGTTATCCGGGAGAGATGGATCGTAGGGCAAATTAATAATTATGTTTTAAGTATTTTTTAAGTGTACTTTTTTATTATGTGTTCAAATAATTGTACTTTTTTTCTATGTGTTTTTTATGTTGTGTACTTTCTTAAAAATGGTTCATTATAATTAATGTTTAATCATATTTTCTTCTTAAATTTATTATTGATGTTGATATTCAAAAATTTCAATAATACATATTTAATGATATGTAAAGAAATTATATATATAAAAATATATAATATTATTTATATAATCTTTAAGGCCATATATGCATTTGGGGAGATATTATTTAATAAAAAAGTGACATTTTGTTTTGCATGTAGTACATGCGAAATAATTTTAAAAAAAAACTGTCAAAAGCTTGCACTTGCGTGGTACCATCTGGAAAAGGAACTTGATGTTGATGTTTTAGCATGTATGACATGCGAAAATTCTGAAAAAAAGGAAAAAAAAAACCGCATGTACAACATGCAGTTGTTTGGGTGGGGAATTTACTCCCTAAAAAGTTCCCATTCAGGGAATTGCTCCATGTTATTCCATAGTCTATCTGACATGGCATGGAAAAATGAGACATACATACGAATAAAATATTTGCTGGGGTAAAAGAATAGTTGAATTTTTGGTTGAGGTATATGATTAAACGACGCAAAGACTTGAAAAAGTGCAAACCCAATTTATAATTACTTTGACCGTTATACACAAAATGGAGGGTTCACCAAGTGGGGTTGAGGTGGTTTTTTATTTACAAAAATGAGAAGTTTTGGACGAGCAAATTCCCCACTCCAACTTCCGCATGTATAACATGCAATTTCTTTTTATTTTTTTATTTTTTTTTGTTTCGCATGTACTACATGCAAAAACATCAACATTAAATTTTTTTCCAGTATTTTTAAAAATAATTTTGCATGTAGTACATGCAAAATTAAATACATTCGATTTTTTTCATATTTTGAAATTTAAAAAAACATCAACATCAAACTTTCACCACTCAAACTTTTTCCCAGTTTTTTAAAAAGATTTCGCATGTAGTACATGCAAATTTAATGAAATTCGATTTTTTTCATATTTCGAAATTTAAAAAAATTATCAAATTAAGAATTTTTTTGGTTTCCTTCATATTTCAAAATTTTTTTAAAAAAATGATCAATTTAATAATTTTTTGGTTTCCTTCGTATTTCGAAATTGTAAAAAAATTGTGTAATTAAGTATTTTTTGTTTCCTTTATACTCGGGGTACTCCGTAATTCATAAAAACCCATAACAAATTACCAATTGAAAAAGTAATTATCAAATTAACAATTTTTTTGTTTCCTTTATAATTTACAATTAAACATAACCAATTACCAATTAAAAAAGTAATACTCTAGGGTAATTCATAATTGTACATAACAAATTAATAACATAAAGAATTCAACTTCGTAATAAAAACATAACAAATTAACAACATAAAAAGGTCTAATTCATAATTGTACATACGAAATTAAGAACATAAAGAAGTTCAAATTTATAATAGGGTGCATGCACCTCCGGTCTCCATCGCTCAATGAGAGCGGTGTATTAAACCATGATCAAATCTAATAGGGTGCACACGGTGTGCCCCATAAAATATGGAGTTAAAGAAAAAGACTATTATTACCTTTTCAAACTATTATTATTTTTACTTTGTACATAATATTTTATTTTTCATTTTCTTTTGTTATATTCTCTAAAAAAATCTTTTGTTTTCAAAAGTACATTCTAATTTGAGACGAGAAGCATATATTTTATTTTATATATTTGTATGGGTTAAGGAGCAAAATAGGAGTAAAATATTGATTAAATCCCAAAATAAGAGTTAAAAGATCCCAAAATTAAATAGGAGTACCCTCTTCTCCACTTAATTTATCATTCCATGCTCAATTGTGCCATGCCAATGCTGTTCAACCGTACAAAATTTCCATCAATGGCCGCTAGGGGTGCATACAAATCAAATAAAATGTATTCAATTCGTGATTCGTATTCGAAAAGGATGATTCATATTCGTTATATTCGAATTCGAATCCGAATACAAATCATATTTTAGATTCGAATTATTTTCGAATTCGAATACAAATATTAATAGATTCGATTCGTTTATTATTCAAATTATTCGAATATTATAATTTATAAATAAATTTATATATATTCTAATATATTAAATATTTGTGTACATATTTTAACATATTTTAATATACTAAATTTTTGTGTACATATAAATTTATATATTCGAATATTATAATTTATAAATAAATTTATTTATATTCTAACATATTTTTACTACATTTTACATTATTATAAAGTAATAATTTAATATCTTTAAGAAATTTGTTTTTAGAAAAAATTACTAATATTTTCGAATTCGAATATTCGAATACGAATTCAAATACGTCAAATATTTATCGAATCGAATACGAATGTTTTTTAAAATTCGAATTATATACGAATCCGAATTCGAATATATATCACTTTAATCGAATACGAATCGAATAGTGATATATTTGCTTCGATTCGATTCGTATACACCCCTAATGGCCGCTCAACTGTGCGATGCCGCTATTGACAACGCCGACACCCCAACCGCTGCCACGCCCCTATCTCCGCTGATACCGCGCCTCTACCACCGTTGACACAACGCATCTACCATCATTGATGTCGATGTCCCTTTAATCTCCGTCACTACCGCCATGATCAGCTGCTTCAAACTGCACCGTTTGAACCTTAGCCGCTGATGTGCCCTGCTTCGCCATATATGATTTTGATTTTTAATTAGCTTCCAAATGCTTTATAAATTAGACTGCATCGTTGAAGTAAGAAATACTTCAAACTAATTGCATTCATTCTTTTTTCTATGAAAAATTGCATCATCATTAGACATTAAGTATGCAATGACATGATTGTCAGTATGCATTATAATCTTTGACATTGTGATTATAGTTGGCATTATATTGAAAGTTTTTTCCCTTGGCGGTGACACCATTATAATGCCAACCGAATCCACAATGTCAAAGATAACAATGCATACAGACAAACATGTCAATGCATATATAATATCAAATGTGTAAGTGTATAATTTCACATTACCAAATTAAGGGTCTAATTATTATTTGTCTTAAACTTATTCTAGTTTAAGGGTTCCTTTATTATATGCCTTAAACTAATTACTCCTTCCGTCCCACTGTCTTTGTCCACTTACCTTTTGGCACACCATCCAATGCACTTCTTTAATCCATTTTATCTTGTAATTTGTATATTAAAAAATTATAGAAATTATATATTAATATCTATATGTTAAGACGAATCAAACAAGATCACACATGACTATTTTTAGGCTTACACATTGAGAGAATTTGATGAGTCAAAGTGATTAGATGAACAGTTCCAAAAGTCAAAAGTGGACAAAGATAGTGGGACGGAGGTAGTATAATATAAGAGTTTGGATATTATTAGCCTTAAACAAATTATAATTTAAGATTTTCATTAATAAAATAAAATATCCTTAAACTAATTACAATTTAAGAGTCTTGTTAATCAAATAAAATAGTCTTATATGGAGGCAAGATTGTCAAGATAGATGTGAAGGTTTTGAACTATTATTTTAAAAGACACAAATGAATTATGTTTTGTGATTCTGATTGAATAAGCTTCCATAATATTGTAAACTCTGTATTTCTATTATGAATAATATTATTGTTGATAGGTGATACTTTACTGTTGGAATATGTTTTAGGAATTGGTAATTTTTCTATTTTGATAAAATTTATGTTTTAGTAGGAATAGAGTTAGAGGAATTTAAATGCTATTTAGGAAAATGACTAATGTTTTAGTGCTACTTAGGGAAATGATTTACGTTTTAGTACTATTTAGTACAAATATCTCTTAGTTATTATTCAAAGGAATGTTCCTCCGTTCTAAAAAAATATTTCATCTTTTATTTTTTCTATTTCCTACAAAACACTTCTATTGTTATTAAAAAACCATTTGTATCCTTATTGTTTCATATCTCATCTTTAATATCATACTTTTTCTCTAATAACTTGTCTATCACACAAAATACAAAATCGAAAGTCAATTACAATTTGACACTTTTTTATTTTTACAATTAGTCAAACTAGGAATCAGTTTTCAACCACAAAGGGAGTAAGAAATTTGTACTCCCACCGTTCCCCAGTTTTTGTTCACTTTTGACTTTTAAAACTGTTTATCTAGGTACTTTGACTCATCAAATTCTCTCAATGTGTAAGCCTAATAAATATAGTCATGTGTGATCTTGTTTGATTTTTTTAACATATAGATTATTAATATATAATTTCTATAATTTTTTAATATACAAATTACAAGATAAAATGGATTAAAGAAGTGTATTAGATTGTATGTAAAAATAAAAGTAGACAAATACTATGAGACGAAGGGAATATTGAATAAGAATGAGAAGGGGTGGATAATTGAATTTGTGATTTGACATTTTTAAAAATAAAATATAAAAAATACTTTTGCATGTAGTACATGCGATTTTCCTAGTGGGAAATTTGGGATTCCACTTGAAGAATTAATGTTTGTGTTTTTTCCAAGTGGGGGAAACCACCCGGATATGCTAGGGGTGTAACACCCCAACCCAGATAACCCGAATACAAGGACCCACGGGTCGGGTTGCTACCAATTCGGTATTCAAACACAATAAATTCTCCAAAACTCTTTTAAAACATTTAAACCAAACAATATTTAATTATCCATCAGAGTAAATCCAAACGGTTGCGGAAGCTAAATTCATAATCCAAAACACAACTTGGGAATCATGCCCGAAAGAGTAATAAGTTAATTTAAGAAATAAATAAGAGTTCAAAATCGTCGAACACCGCCACGCGCATCTCAGCCTCTTCATCGCCCTCCGGGATTGGCTCCAAGCTCATCATTTCCTGGATTACCTACGTGTAGCAAACAGGAAAAAGGGCTACACGCTCAGCATTGAAGCTAAGTGAGATATATCTAACATACAGCTATACCCATAGGTGATCCCACTAGCCCATATCATCATACGATATCATGCACACAACATGCTCATCATATTTACACAACATACATAATATAACAGTTGTAATAAACATCAACATTAAAGAATAACAGATCACA